GGTCTTCCTCCCATTTTCAAACATTGGGGAGGTCTCAGAGACATACCAACACCTCTCCCTTTGGTCCGGTGGAGAGATCCACTAACCGGGGCTTGGAAGGGCCCCGACCCACTCTTAACCCAAAGGAAGATGGTTTGCTTGTATTTTTCCAGAAGGTGAGAAAAATCCCGTGTGGATTCCTGCCCGTAACATCAAACCCTGCACCACCAGCAATGAGCCATAGACCACCATCACCATCACCCCTGGTAGAGGAAATGGAGGACCTGACCATAGAGGACAACCAGCCCCGGCGGCAGAGACGACCAAGACACTGACGGGCCCACAACATTACCTGGGAGACATCAACAATCTACAGGACCAAGCCGCACGCATGGCACCAGAAGGCAATCCATCGGCAGGGACATTATTCCTATTAATGTCTGCCATCTGTGTAACGCCCATTCCAGTGAGAAATGCCTCCTGGGAGCGCCAAGAATTAGCAAATCTCTTTAAAGGACCATTCAGCCAGGCATTCCTAAACAGCACCTATCAGCTCCAGCGAGAAATCCTAAGAATCAACAATACCCGAGTGAAACCCATTGAGTTTAGTTTCTTAAGTGATGCCCTCAGCCGTCTAACCTCCTGGTTAAACCCAGCCAACCTCCTCATCTGGGGAGTCATGATAGTAGGATTCGTCGTAGGAGTAGTATTATTTCGCTGTTTATACAACATGAGAGCTCAAGAGATTTATCTCAGTGCTGTGGCCGATGCAATGCTGTGAGCACACTCCATCAAACATGCTTCCTTGGCACACCAGGAAGTGGCAATGCCCGGCTGACAAATCTCCAAGAGCCACCTACTCTTAGCCCCGACCCTCACGACCATTGGATAACACAGCAAGCATGTCCCTGTTCTATTGGCTGCTTACCCCTTTTTATATGATTGTACTTCCTCAATAAACTTAGATCTGTGTCTCTGAACCTGGTCCCCAGAGTTGTGCATGCAAACGCCCTAGCACGGTGGGCTCCGTCGTCCTCACCCCCGAGGGACCCCCCTGTTCCAGACTCCCACATAAAATTTGGTCCTAAGTGTGGGCCAGCGGACCCCCTGACCCACATGTGCCTTTTGTCAGCCTCATTTCTCACAGCAGCCCCATCTGACACACTCCCCTAGCTGGCCAGCTTCTCCCAGTCAGGAGTTACATTCACCTTCCACTGCATCTCACTCATGGGCGCCACGTTCACATGGCTGTCACTCGAGGTTCAGTGGGAAAGTCATTGCCCACAGCTCTAGGGCACTTTCCTAACATGCTGGCTATCACTGGGCTTTCATAGCTAAGCCTCACCCGTGCCGGGCCACTGCTGCTGATGCCTGTTTGTTTATTTGAATCCTCACCCGAGGATAATTTTCCATTGATTCCTTAGAGAGAGGGAAAGACACAGAAATATTGATGAGAGAAAAAATTATCGCTAGATTGGCCCGGCATGTGCCCCAACCAGCGCCTGAGCCTAGGAGGATACTACCACCAAGGTACAAGCCCTTGACTGGAATTGAACCCGGGACCCTTCAGTCTGGGAGGCCTACACTCTATGCACTGAGCCACGCCAGCTGGTGCCTTTGCTGTTTGCAGGTCATTTCCTCAGGGTGGTGTGGGAGAGACCATTTCTGGGGGACAGAAGAGGGAGTGGTTAGGACACCCGGCTGCCATCAAGCAGACCTTGAGGACTCCAAAGTCCACACTTGTGCAACCCACCGGGAAGCAGGTAGAGAGGGTGCCTGATGAGGAAGAGAAAGCCTGGTGGTCAGTGAGCAATGGATGCTGCCATGTGTTCCGCACCCAGCAACAGAACCCTGCTGGTCAGGACAATGGGGGTGGAATGTGGCCGTGAACTGGAGGCTGAGGAGAGGGCTTAGAGTCGTGTGCCAGGCCCTCGTGTGGTTGAGGCCTGTGTGGCCGGGTCCCACAGTGTGGCCGGTCCCACATAGCCAGGAGCCGGCCGGAGGATCCCCAGAGGAGCGGCGTGTGCCTCAGTAGCGCTGCCTGACCTGCTAGTTGCTCTTCCCAGACACCCACTCCTTCGGAGACACATCCCTGGTCAGTGGGGGCTCAGCCTCTTTGTTGTATCTGTTTTATTATGGTAAAATGGGTATAACAAAAAAAAATTGTAGTACTATTAGGGTTGCTGAAGGAGGAACACACTAGACCGAAAGGGATTAAGGATTATGAATGTATTAGGTCATCTGGGAATCAGATGGGCTGAGCCCCAAATGGAACTAGCCACCAGCAACAGGAGTCAAAGATTTAAAGGACTCTGGGTGGGCTTTTTCGGTGGGGAACTCTCTGGGCTGGTCCGGATCCTGAGGAATTCCGGAGGGGAGAGATAATGGTCTTAGCAAGTGGAATGCGGTCTCATAAGCGGGATGTGGTCTTACAAGTGGGATGTGGTCTGGGCCAAAGGGAATGCCTGCTGTGAAGTGGCCTAAAGGGCAGATCCCAGGGGAGGGGTATTGATTCAATTATTTGATCAAACCTAACAGTTACCTTTTTTAAGTGTATAGTGCATTGTCACTAGGGACCTTCACAATGTTTTGTTGCCATCACCACCATCATCTCCAGAACTTTTCATCTCCCCAAACTGTTGTACCATAAATCAGCAAGTTAGATACAAGATGCCTTAACAAGCCAATTAATTAGGAGTCTTTATTATGCGCAGGCTCAGAGGGAGGTGTCTCCTAATTCTCTGAGCAAATATATAGAGGAAGTTTTCTCTATTTATACCTTTTGAGCACTTTGTCTGCAGATTTTACAAAAAGCTCTGTATAGGTTATTTTTGCAGACAGTTTGTAATTTTAATACATAATGAACAAACACTTGGCATGAGAATTGGGAATTATTATCAGCATTTGTCTATTTTGTTAGATGGCTAGCTTGCAAGGTCAGACAGTTAAGTTTTTATCTTTTTCTATTATTCAAACTAAAACAGTTATTTTACAAAATAAGGGACTATCTGAAAATAACAGAGTTGACCTATAGAAAAAGGGACTGTCTAAGAATAACAGAGTAGTTCAAACAGCAGTTTTCCAAAGCAGGGATTACTATGCTTCAAAACAGAAACTGTCCCCATCTAACCCTCTTCTTCCTAGCCCCTGGCACCCACAGTTGCTTTCTGTCACTGTGAGTGTGGCTACCCTAGGGACTTCATAGAGGTAAATGATACAGTACTTGTCTTTGTGTTGCTGGTTTGTTCCATTCGGTAGAATGTCTTCATAGTTCATCCATGCTGTAGTGGGTGTCAGAATATTCTTTGTTTTCAAGGCTGAGTACCATAATATTCCATGGTATGGGTGGACCACATGTTGTCTGTGCACTCATCCAACGTGAACATTTGGGTTGGTTCTAGCCCTTGGCTGTTTTGAATAATGCTGCTATAAACATGGGTGTGCAAATATCTGCTTGAGTCCCTGCTTTCCCTTCTTTGGAGTATAAATCCAGAAGAGGGATTGTTGAATCTTGAGGTAATTTCATGTTTAATGTTTGGACTCTAAACTGAGATATAATTCGCACACTATTTACTATTTTGAAGCGTACAATTCAGTAGGTTTCTGTATATTCACAAGATCATGCAACAATCACTGCTAATTCTAGAATGTCCTCATCACCTAAACAGGAATGCTCTTTTCTCAGTCCTTCTTGTCTATGTTTTGACTGACTTCTTGGCTACTTCAGTGTTTGTTCCACTCACTGTCAGTGGTTAATTGGCTGTGTCTTTTTTACATTTTGATGCTCACTGAATCTGTACATTTCAAAATGGTGAATTTCATGGTGAGTGAATTCCATCTCAATTAAGCTGTTTTAAAAACAAAAGATATGCAGCGATGGTAGAAATGTGCCCTGGATGTAGGGAAGCAATGAGGTGGGTGCTCATAAGCTTCATCAGGAAGACAGCTTCTGCTCTTTTTTTTTTTTTTTCAGAGAGGAAGGGAGAGGGAGAGAGAGATAGAAACATCAATGATGAGAGAGAATCATGGATCAGCTGCCTCCTACTGGGGATTGAGCCTACAACCTGGGCACTCATCTAAAGATCTAAGGGATTTCTTGTATCAGTCTGGGGGATCTCTTGTCCTGTCCCTTGCACTGGGGGCCTCTCAGAATAAAGGCCTCTCAGTGCTCAACTTGTGTGCCCTTTCCCAAACTGTAACCTCCTGATTCATAGGTTGACACTCAACCACTGAACAACCCTGGCCTGGCAGCTTCTGTTCTTCATGATTCTCTGAGGTGGTCCCTCACTTGAGAATCCGTATGTAACCCATGGAATGGCTTTACTTTCCACTCTGCTCCATGTTTCAATGGCCTTATTCCAAACTTTTCTAAAAGGGTTTAAGATGCTAAGTAAGTACATATGTAGTTTTCCAATGGTACACAAGTGACCCATAGAACTGTGATGAGGTAACCTCTAGACCAGTGGGTGTCAACCGGTGGACCACTGTTGGTCTGTGAGGTCCAAAAGGTTGGCGACCGCTGGTTTAAGGAAACATTTGGAGCAGCTGTCACCAACTGGTGGTCCAAGGACCACTGGTGGTCCATGAGGTCCAAAAGGTTGGCAACTGCTGCTCTGGATCATCACAGCGGTATCCTTTAAGGTAGCATTGCTTTTGTCAGGTGGTGAGAAGTGGGCAACTGAGCTGGGAAATATGTGAAGGGAATGGCAAGCTTCTGGAGTGCGTAACCACAGAACGAGGGCTAGAACTGATCTCTACTGGAGCCTAAAACAAATGTGTCAATTTCTCCACCTTTCTCATGTTGGGTCTTGGAGCTTTGTAGATGAAAGGTTCGGAGTGGGCCGGAGCCGCGTACCTATGACATGAGGCCATAATGAATCAAAAGAGATTTTTATTTCAGGCACCTGGTTGCAGGTGGGCTGAGTCCAACAAAGGAATCAGTGGAGACTGAAGGGGGAGGCAGACTTTTCTTAATCCTTGATGGCTGCAAGCCGCTCTGCTAATGTAAGGGTTCAGTCCATCCTTAGCTCCTCCCAATGCCAGGTGTCTTCTGGTTATCTAAGCTATGCAGTGCTCAAGGCTGCAAGCTTTCTGCAAGATATCTGTTAAGCACAATACGTTTTCTCTACCCCATTTTATTCTCTTTAACCCTTTCAATAGAGTTTCTATGAGAGCCAGAAAGAAGTTGTGTGCCTCATGACGATGCGACATGGGTTATACACACTCTGAGGTTCTTTGTATGAAGTTCTGATTCAACAGTTCATTGGCACTGAGCAATGTTTTAAATAGTTAAAAAACTTTTTTAATGTGGATGTCACAATTTATGTGAGCACTTTGCATGGTCACTTTGGGTCTTCTGTTCCTTCTCTTCCTGTATACATTCTGGGTAGGCACCATCACACACACCCCCTAGCTGTCTTCACTCCTACCACTCTCCCTGCCTGGGGAAACCACCTGACCGAGTAGTCACCAGTCATGTGTTACTGCAAA